ATTTATAAAAAAAAATCATCAAATTAAAATAAATTTTATTTCAAAGTTAAGCTAAAAATGTAATTTTTTTCTAAAAAAATATGTTTCAAAGCTTATAAATATTTTAAACAAGGTTGCCATGTAAAAATATGTTAACATTTAAATAATGTCAAAATTATATTTGTTTTGTTTTTGCAAATATAGGGTTTTGTCGGTTTAAGAATTGTTAAAAAGAAATAAATAAATACAGGGTTGCCATCTAATTTTTTTTATGGAACATATAGTTATTTATGTATAGATAGTTGCAGTAGAAAATATTGAAATTTTTTAACATGAAATTCAAATTAAAGTTTAAAAAATAAAGGGTTGCCACGTAATTTTTACATAGAACATACATTGCCATTTGCTAAAAATATATAGAAATAATTTTTTGTAAAAAATATTTGCAAAATAATGTTATTTGCACACATTTTAAAAATTTTCGAAGGGTTGACTTTATGTAATACATATGTAATTGAAGTTGTCACCCGCATTATAACTAAATATGTTATGGAAAATAAAATATCAATTAAGAAAGGGAATTGCTATTTGAAATTATAAATAAATTACAATACAAAATCCCTTATAGTTAAGCAATATTGTTTATAAAAATACTATTTTGTGATGTTGCCATATGTTAAACATTCTTAAAACAAATTGTTTTGAAAAAATATGTTCTACATACGTATGCGATTACTAAGGTTTGAAATAGTTAATGGTGTTGCCACCCCTATCAAAAAATTCAATTGGAAACTTTGAAATTACATTATTTTGGAATGTATTGGAAAATTTATAAATTTTAATAGGTATAGGTATCAAATAAAGAATATTTAAGCAATTTGTAAATATACTATTCTGCAGGGTTGCCAAATGCTAATAATGTACAATAATATTTTTGTGGAAAAAAGTTTTTGAAAAAAATTATACTGCACACGCTTTACAAATTTTCTTAGACTTATGTTTCGGTAAAGATTTTGATTGCGTTGCCAACCTTATAAAATTTCTAAAAAGTTAGTCTCTTGTAACAAATAATATATTAACTTTGGGCATAGAAAGTATATTCATATACAATTGTGCGTGGTATTGAAAGATGTTGCCACCTGATTTGAAATAAAAAATAAATAGACATTTGAAAATTTGCAGAGGCATAAGCTTTCAAAGAAAAAAGTGCCGAATTCTGATCTTTGATAGATCATAACGGGTGATCCAAGTAGAGACAGTTTTTCATTAGTTTATTTTGACCGATTATTTTATCTTGCGAATGATAAAAAATATTTTCTATTAAATTTAAAGTTTCTGTATTTTTTCTTTAAAAAAGTAGGTAATCTCGAAAAGGATCACTCAAAAAAATAAATAAATAATTATATTAAAATATTAATTGATGTATTCAATACAAACGTTTTGAATTATATTGTCACCATTCCAGCAAAGCACAAATAATTGAGAGAGCGAAGAGAGAATATAAACCAAAAACTTTACGTAATCACCAATAAACATGTTTTGACCCTAAAAAAAATTATATTTAAATATTATAAGAATATTTATACTTGTATAAATTTGATAGATGAAAGGTAAATAATTTAATAAAATCTTAAACAAAATTAATTTAAATATTAATTTTATTTTAAATACATTTTTTTTATTTAATTTTTTTTTTTTTTTTTCAAAAATCCATTTCCTCCAATCAGTTCTGTACTTACTGTCACTAACTGAAAGCCCACCATGCAAATTAGAACCGATGAAATCAAGAAATTCACCAATAAAATTGGACTGAAGAACTCCTCCATGCGAATGACGAAACTGGAAATGGTATACAAACAACAAAAAATTAAAACTTTAGTTCGGACTTTTCCAGTTTTCCTACTACATTAGCTCACTTAAATAATACGCAATGTTTGTTGGCGATTTTATCCAGACGCCGAATGCATTCCCGTTGGAAGACCGGCTCAGTGCCACGTCCAGCTCGCGTCGCTGCATACGAATCGGGTATAATATTATCGATTTGTGTGTGTAGAATGCGAAACTGGCCACAAGTGTAAGAAACAAAGAAGCCAAATAGCGAATCTTCAGCAAAGAGTGTGGTCACCACACAAACACCGGCCCAAGCGGTGAATAAATAGGTGAGCGCATAACGCCAGCCGTGATTTGCGTCGTAAGGGAATAACATTTTATAAGGAAATGGCTTCGGCACGGTATCCAAGGCATCGGGTTCCATATTCACCGTTAGCATATAAAGTTCCACCAAGGGCAGAATGCAGTACATAGTAATGAGACTGGACTGGAGCACCGAGATTACTTGAAAGACACGCATATTGCGGGCACAAGCGCGCTCAACGGTGGGATGGGAGGAGCTGTGATGAAAAAATACAGTAAAAATATGAGTTTCTTACATTTAACTCCTTCTCCTTGTTTTAATTTTGCACTCCTCGCTCTCATGTACCTCGTGATCCAGATATCCTTAACGAACTGTGCTAACAATTGTTGAAAGTCCCGTTGATGCAGTCGCAAATGCAGCAAACGCACAAAGTTTAACAAACCCATAAATGTGGTGCAACCATTCTCTGTGGTGACCATTATATTGCCGAAGGATTTGAGCAGGAATGCACTCTGAAAACCGATGGTTATGCCAACCATAACCACCACATACCAGGCCCAAGTGCTGTACAGCAAGCGAAAGTATTTCTCAAACTCTCCAGTCACCTTGGGTTTCAGTGGCCACGATCCGTTCAGTTTTAGCCAGATGCATTGTAAGGGAAATCTGAAGTTTTTTGGATCCTTCGACGGTTTTGGATTGCATAACATCTTAAATTTTTAGGCGGAGATCCTTTTTTTTTTGACGTCCAACGGGCTAATAAACGCTAAAAACTGGCAACCAATGGGCATTTCCTGGTATTTATAGGAATGGGGCGGCTGCCTTTTCGGCAATTAAATTGCTGTGGGCGTGCATTTCAGCATTTCTCTTTTAACTGTCAATCACGTGAGACGGCCGCACAAACGGCATTTTTAATTATTTGATTTTGTGTGGCCATTCATTTGGGTGCCGTGCAATTTGAATGTTAGCTGAATTTTTGAACTGTCAATAATTTTGTTCAGTACCCTTTATGGGCGTGGAGAAGTTAATAATTTAACTGTCTATTTTTTATATTGCCGTTTGAAAGGCCATGAAAAATATGAACAGAAGGACACATAGTTCTAAAGATTAAGAAAAAAACATGTTTATTTAAAAAACTTAATATATTTCGAATATTATCGAAAAAAAATCGTATAAGAGAGTTGCCACCTATTTCAATTTGCTATGTGTATATGAGATAAGCACAATGTAATACGCTATCAAATTAAAAATATTTTAGGTAGTTTAATTTGGTTTCTGGAAATTGAAGAAACTTGCCACCTTAAAAACATGTATAAAAATAAAAAAATAACTAAAAAACTTAATATAATATTCGAAAAAAAATTTTTTATGAGAGTGTTGCCACCTATTTTAATTTGCTCTATGTATTTGAAATAAGAAAAATTTAAATACGCTATCAAATTGAAAATATTTTAAATAGCTAAAAGTTAAAAAATAATTGAAGAAAGTTTCCACCTTTAACAAAATTCAATGGAAAAAATATGTAAGAGCAAGGTTTAAGAAAGATTAAATTGAAAAATACTTTTATTGAAGTAGCTATCTATTTAAAAAAAAAAATAACATTTAAGATAGCTAACGGGAAATATTTTTGTAGAAGGTTGCCACCTAATATATAAAACTATTAAATGAATTATTAAATTATTATTTGAAGTTCATTAAAAATATATAGGATATTTTAGAAATTTTAGACTTTAAATATTTTGAATGGGGTTGCCATCTTTTTAAGACACAATTGGATACATGTAGCTCTTTATTTTATATTGGAATAAGAATATTCGGATACGAATAAGAATGTTTTAGAGAAATTGTTGTTCGATATTATCAAATTTTTACGGAAGTATATCTTCAGATTTAATTGGAACCACAGATTCTATTCTACAATTTTCTTTTTTACTTTGTTGTGAATTTAAAGCTTTTGCCATTTTATTATTCAATATACATATGTATGTATGTATTTGACCAGAACTTTAAAAACTTAAATAACTTTCATTCGCATTTTAAGCTTCCCGTTATTATGTGCTAAAGCTCAAAGGCGCACACTCATATGGTATAGTGAGAGCTTAAAAGCTTACGCCAATCTGAAAAACACCATTGTAATCGCCAGATTTAGTTTCCTGTGACCTTTTTTTCTGACTTTGAAAGTGGAAGTCTATTGACCCGTCGTAAAGAAACTGCTATCAAATACTCACTAATTGACTTGTGCGAATAAAACCTCACATGAACATAAGAATTTGATTCGTGCTTTTATCAGTCCGGGTCAAATTTGATCTTAAGCTAAAAATTCCAAATAAAACACTGTTTGCATTTATTGATTTTTGTATTTAAGTTTAATTTATTCTATGCTTATGATCACGTTTATTGTTTCTTCATTTAATTTAATCATATTCATTAAATTAAGTGACATTTACATGTTGCTTTGCGTAAATTTACACACTTTGCTCGCGTTTTTTGTGTTCTTCTTTTTTGTTGTGGTTTTAGTCTGTTCTGTTTTTTTGCATTTATTTTATATTTTTGTTTGTAATAATTTAATACTTAGTCATTTTATTAGAAGGGGAAGAAAAAAACTACGCTAAGTAAACCTTATTTCCTTGTACTTTGCGTACAGTGTTGCCAAATCATTTGTATTGAAAAGAAATATTACAAACACAGTTTCATCACTCTAGATATTCACTTATATATATCATATACCATATACTATATATATGCATTTATTATCATCATAGTTGCTTTAATTAAATTATAACATAAGTATTTATATACTCGTATATTATGTACTATACTATATTTATAT